GGCCTGGTTTTCTTTTTTTAAATGATATAATTCAGGGAGATGAGACAGTGAACATGTATACTTAGATACATGAATTTTTAACATTTTCATTAGAAAATTTTGAAATATGTACAAAAGCAGAGAGTGTAGCACATTAAACACCATGTGTTCGTTAACAGCTTCAACAATTATTAACATTTTACTAATATTGTTTCATTCATTCCCCCACCACTCCTCTCTTTTTTTCATTTCAGAATATTATGGGGTGGGGAGGGGGGTTACACAGGTTTTGGTTACATTGTTTGCTTTTGTATAGTTTGAGTCAAAGTTTTAAGTGTGCCCTTAACCCAGATAGTGTGCATTGTACCCGTTAGCTGTGAATTTACCCATCCCGTTTTCGCCCCTCCCACCTACTTGATTTCCGTTGAGCTTTGCTTCTATACGTGCACATAAGTGTTGATCGATTAGTTCCAGTTTAGTATTGAATACACGTGGTGTTTGTTTTTCCATTCTTGTGATACTTCACTTAGGCTCAATTCTCTTAATTCATTTGCCTTTCCCCACTGATAGCATTAATCTATCTTCTTATTAAAAAGTTTCATCATGACTCATATTGGAAGTTGGGAAACTCAGCTTTAGTTGTTAGTTTACCAGAGGTTCTCAGAATGCTCACACTTAAGACTGTGGGAAAGGATGCAGCTGAACAGTAATATATTAACAATATGTGTTGAAACATCAGTTCCTTGTTGACTGTATACAAAACACAAATTTCTAATAGTTCTCAACGGCACTACTTCCTCTGTGGATTATGTAGGAAATGCTTCAGTCTGAATAATCCTTCCCAGGGGAGGAAAGCCTTCAAAATAAATTCACTTTATAGAGTGCGTGTGTTGGAGAGACAGAGAGGGAGAGAGAGAGAGAGAGAGAGAGAGAGAGAGAGAGAGAGAGAATGGGAGAGAGAGTGATTATTGTAGAATTCTGAGTCAGTCATGCACATATGCCTAGTATAATTAAAGAACATAATTTGACGGTAGCAACAGTATTTAATTATATGAAATACTCTGTATGCTGTTTCTTGTCACCACATTGTTTAAAAATAAACTAATAGCAACAATGGACAGCTAATTCAAAGGTTAAGGAAAACAATGGTGGGGGACTAGGCTTTCATAAAACAAAACAAAACTGAAAACTCTAATTATCAGGGTAGTTGCAGAAGAAATAACTCTATCACCTTTTCGTTAGAATTATCTAGGCCCATAAAGACAAAGTAGGTTATTTCCCCTCAGTTATCTCGACATTTGGCTACATTCTTCTCTGCTTCATTTTGGTTTGGAGACATCCATAAAGTGAACCCTTAGTAGTGGTGCAATGATACCTTCCCAGAGTTCTCTTTAGTGGTTTTAAGCCTGGGGCTGTTGCATGTGGTATGTGTGGGAAGTGTGTGTATTTTTCAAACAATAACCTCCCTACACCCTACTCCTTTGCAATTTTTTTTTTTTTTTTTTTTGAGACAGAGTCGCACTCTGTTGCCTGGGCTAGAGTGCCGTGGCGTCAGCCTAGCTCACAGCAACCTCAAACTCTTGTGCTCAAGTGATCCTCCTGCCTCAGCCTCTGGGGGTAGCTGGGACTACAGGCACGTGCCACCATGCCCGGCTAATTTTTTTTTCTATTTTTAGTTGTTTGGCCGATTTCTTTCTATTTATAGTAGAGACGGGGTCTCGCTCTTGCTCAGGCTGGTCTCGAACTCCTGAGCTCAAGCAATCCTCCCGCCTCGGCCTCCCAGAGTGCTAGGATTACAGGCATGAGCCACCACGTCCGGCCCCCTTTGTAACTTTTTTTAAAAGTTCTGGTGATTCTGAATTAGCCCATAGCCTAGTCACACACTTTCTCCCCTATCAGAATCCACTTTTAGGGACTGTGAATAGATGAAGTTTCCAAAAGATCTGTTAGTATTCTGAAAGAGTCAGTTAATTTTACATGAAAGCTCTTTCATCTTCATAGAAGTCTTTTTTTTTTTTTTTTTAAATCAAGGTTGGCTCAGACTGAGAAAGATTTATCTGACCAAATGCAATTTTACATGTGTACAGTAGTAAATACATTAAGGGGAAAGGATGCATGCTGTCAGTGTGCCGGCTGGGACGGGAAGAACTGAGATGTTTTCTAATGGGTTGAGGTGTGGGGTCAGCTAACTTTGGAGGTGAGAATCATTTCTTTAAAAAGAAGGACACATGCAGACACACACACACACACACACACACACACACACACACACTCCTATGTAAAGTGGCAAACTTTCTCAGAGAGACATTAGGGTTACCCAGCACATCAGCTACATATTGCAAGTATGCAACTCTTAAAATATTAAATCCATGCCTTTGCATATCTCCTTGGTCCTTCTTCAGTTTGCATGTAAAAAAGAGGGTATATTTGAACTGATAAATTGATCTGGTGGGGGTGAACATTTATAATGGTGTTGGTGAAATTTTTGTCAGGGCCATACTCTAGTTTGTTAACCAATAGTGTGTTCTTTCTCTCTCTCTCCCTCGCTGGGGTTTGTGTCTGCCTTCCCACTTTACCTGTGGCTGAAAGGACCTCTCTCAGTTCCTCTTATTGTTAATTTCACATATGTAATTAGCAGTCCCAAGGACTAGGCAGTTAAACACATATTCATCTATGAGTTTTAATCTTGGCAGATTCATACTCTTTATGATATAGAATGAAGCAAATAAAATATCATGAGACATTTTTCATGTTGGAGTTCAGGGTAGAAGTAACCCTTCCCTGGTTGTGGAAACTGGAGGGTTAATGATGAAACAAGCCTGTCAACAACCAGAAGTGTCTCAAGTCCTGGTTTTCCTGGAGTGTTCCTTCACCATGTGTTACTTTGAATGAATGACCTGAGTGAAAATACTAAGCTTTTTCTTCTTAGTCTTACTCCGTTCAAAATCATAATGTTATAGACATTCCTTTTTGGTAACCTTATTTTAATAACATTCAGGTACATAGGTGGTCAAGTCTGATATGACTGGGTGAGTGATCTAGCTATAAACATAATATACCAATGTCAAAAGCTGTTGGAAATGATCTCTTACTGTGAATTTTCCCAACAGTTATGATGTACTGTTAAAAGCATTTTTTATTTCAGAACGTTTATCTGACAGAGCCTAATTGAGAAGAATATTGCATTAGTAAATTGCTCTGCCCAAGACAACTGCTGCTCTGTTTCTTTTCAGATTTTAAAAGCTAAGTTACAAATCTCGGTCTGTAGTTAAGAGCTTCAAACAATAATTACCTCTGTGAAATGAGCAGAAGTCCTTAAAAGGGTCTGCCGGTTTCCCCGCAATCTTTTACAGGGTGAGCAGCGCTAGCTATATCCACTGATAACCCAGCTGCCTAGGAACTGAGTAAAGCCGGCTCCAAACTTCTCAGCTGTTGACAGGCTTGACTTGCTGAGAACACTGGTTAAATATAGCACGCGCGAGCTCAGCTCCTCAACAAAGTCATTTCTCTGACAGTGTTGTGAAGGGAGCAGAAGAGGAGAAACCTAATCTCAGAACCCAACAACACCTAGCAACAGTTGAAAAAACTTTTAAACAAAAGTCTGGGTGGGAGATATACAACAACTTCCAATTTCTGCTGATCGGGATTTCAGGGAGAAGAAGCTGCTTTCCCCCCTTCTCTACTCAGTTTCCTGCATGACTTCAGCTATTGGCTAGTCCTAGGAAAGAAAGTGGGAAAAGCTTTTTCCTCTGTATTCTTTTGGGCTGGATAGTTTTCCAGAACTCGAGTCTGTCTTGGGCTGTGGGACGAGCCACTGGGTTCTTCAAAGGATAAACTACCTCCATAGAGGACATACCCTTGGTTAAACGAGCTGCCGTCAGGTAAGACCAAAATAAATAGCTACTTACTCTCGAGAAATTTCTGTTTCCACAAGGAGAGAGTTCTCTGTGATTCTGTTTTGTCTGTTTCTTTTGATTCTTCCTGTTCTACTGCGTGGTAACACACGTAGAAATTATGATAATCATTGTGAATGATTTAAAAAAGTCAGAACATCATCTCTTTCTGAGAATTATACTGATGCCTTTTTAAACACAGAGAATTTTATGATGTTTTAATAGCCATCAAAATATTTCTGCCAAGCTATCACTCTTCAGCAGGTAATAGAAATATGACAAAGGACAATTTTGCAGCTCTTTTCACATTGGGATGGCTAAGCAACAAAAAGGATATTTTCCCTGGAAGCAAAATAACTTTCATTTATTGAAACTGGCTAAGCAGCTTGTGTGGTAAATGAGAGGAAAGTCCCACATGGTGTTGGTATCGCTGGACTTTTGACTTGCTGCTTTACATGTCTCCTTTTGCCTAATTCTCCGATTACACTGGTACACCTTGTGCTGGCTCTGACCTTGTTACACTATAGTCACCCCAAATGCTTCTGACTAGGCACAAAATATGCCTGGTATTACATCACTACTTTTACAGTTCTTAAATATAACTACTGAGGAGAATGTTATTTGTATGTGTGTATTTTAAATAAATTGAGTAATTGCTTGTATTTAGATAGAACAAATTCTGTTTTTAAAAACTTAAACTGAATAAATTAGGAAAAAAATCCTTTCTTAAGTTGCATGTATGTGTGTATGAATGTATTTACTGTAGTGAGAAGGAAATCCTCCTTTTATCTGATGGTATATTGTCTCCCGTTCCATGAGTTGGCATGCAGTTTTATCAGAATTGTTTAGAGCGATCAATTTCATGTTCAATCTGACAAGTTGTGGTTGTACATTGGTGATATGGTTAGTGTCGACACCTGATGATCTGTAGTTGGGCTGGATTTGCATAAAAAGATTTTTCCTTTAAATGAACATGATAATTTGAATGCATGTTCTAATCTCAGGATAATATCACAGAATATACAGAAACGTCTTTTATAAGAAATTATTTGAGTCTATTTTGTCAATGTAAAGAATTTACCCAAGACCGGTTTTGAACAAATTGTTGACAAGTAAGAATGTATCAACCTTTTCCAAAAATGTTCCTATTTTAAGAAAAACCAATTAAAGCTTATATATTATATGTTCAGGAAAATGAAATAGGACCCACATTTCAGTATGTATTATGTTTCTTAATTCTTATTACTTGATAAGTTTACAAAGTAAATGAGCTAATGATATATATTGAATATGTACAAATAATAGTGCAATTGCACTTTTGTGACCTTGCTATTAGAGAATTAAACTCCTGGTGCTTTAGTGGAGATGAAATATCTTTGTCTTTAAAGAGTTTTGAAAAGTCAGAACTAAATGCTTTACATTTTTCTTGTTTTTATCCTAAGAAGGGTCACATTGTTGGCTTACAAATATATGTGTAAGGACAGAATCTACCATTAGTTCTAGGCATGTAATTTCTTTTAAAGTCAGTGGGAAAGTATACAGATAACTAAGCATAGCATTTGGCCCTGTTTGCCATGTTTGCTGATGAAGTGAATTTTTGAGTATCATTAATTTTCTTCATGGTTGTAAGTTTCCTCTTTTTTTTGTAAACACTAGAGATTGATACTGAGTAAATTTCCTCTTGAAAATCAAGACCAGGTCAGGTGAAACCACGTGGTTTCCTCCACCATATGAACAATCAGGCTCTCCACGACTATGAAGATCTGTTCACCTGTTCACTCAAGTTCACACCTCTATGTCATTTTGAAACCCTCCCTTTCTCTTTTGCCATGAGAAATGTTAGATTCCTTTGCCATGTCTTGCACCGCACTGAGGCCTGTTCTCTTTAGCCTGCCTATTGTAACAGTACTTCTCCCCTCCCACCCTTCATTATCATTCAAATTATCTTGCCCATGACCACGAGATTAATTTTCCTAAAGCATTGCTATGTTTGTCTATCCACTCTTCAGTTATCTTCTGGGACTCCTAGTTGCTGCCAAACATCTAGGCTGGGTATTTTGAAAACCTTCAGTTATCTGGCACCTACTTAACTTTTCTAGTCTCACTACTGCTACTCAACAACAAGGTCCTTCTGTACACAGTGAACATTTTATTAATAATGCCCTACCTTTGCCCATATTATTCCCCTTGCCTGGAACACATTTTATTCTCCCTTTCTGTAGAAACCTTGCCTACTCGTGAAGACCCGGATCAGTGTCTTCCACTTTCGCAATGATTTTCTGGATCATACATTTTAGAAGTGATTCCTTCAGACAGTTTGGTGCTCTGCTAGAATTAGGGTACTTTGGAGTAGGGTTTGCCCCATTAAATTCAAAACAATTTTATGAACTCTATTAGGTGCAAAGGCAGGATCCAAAGCATCAATTGGCTTTGGAACTTCTCAGCTCCATGCACACTGTGGATGTTCTATTAACATTTGTGGCTCTAGATTTCTGATGATGAGTACATGAAAAAGTATGGATAAGTATAAAATCAAGAAAAACAACTGTAAGCACGGTTAATAGCTTTTTACCTCAAAAATTTCTCAAGGGAAGTCTTAAAAAAGTTTTGCCATGTACAGAAAAATTACAAGTAATTTTAATCATACTCATGTACCTGAATGTGAAGATGATGTTGTATCGCTCAAGAATGAAATAGAAAGAAGGGGATATAACAAGACTGTATACACAGATGCACATGCACATGCACACGCATGTATATGTATGTCCTGTGTATGTACCTAGACCTCTAAATACCATAACTCATACATTTTTATCATCTTTTGGTGCCAGATTCTATTTATGGTTACCTTTGGTACAATTCATTTAAATTGTGGCTCCTTCTATTTGTGGGTCATGAGTTAGCATCTGGCCTTGAACATTAAAACATTTAAATATGTTATGATCCATTTTCTGTTCTTTTCCTCTAGATATTTAAAAAAAGAGACATTTCTAAGTATTATCTTTAATCACTCATGAAACCTGTAGCCTTACTGTATGAGATAAAGCATGAATCATGCCTTTGAAGCAATCTATTTTGTATCCACCAAAAGAAAAACATTCTCTTTATATTTTAAGATGGCCAAAAAGATTAACCTTACTTGTCTAAATGGGTGTTCAATAGGAATCATTATGGAATTTTTAAAATGAAATCTATAAAATATTTAATATATTAATTAAACAATGGTTTCCCTTTGGTTATAATGTTTACTTACTCTTTAGAAGTGAAACTTTGGGGTTAACACGTTCTAAATAGTGCCACTTGTGTTTTTCTTTTTTAGCAGATGAGAACTTCTTCATAAAACAGGTACTTTGAGATATATAATTTAACAGTTTGTGTAATCCCATTGTCACTTATTTGTTTAATCTTATTTCTTTAAACTTGTGGGTTTTAGGCAGCACCGTGAGGAGTGAGGGGGCAAACTTAGGTTGAGATCTATTTCAATAGGAAGGTTTAAGAGAAAAAAGATTGGTAACAACTTGTTAGAAAAGCCTGAAACATAAATTTGCTTGTACATTAATTATTTTTAATATATGTATATCAATAGAAAGATAACTAATAAAAGTACATTTTATTTCCTTAAATACAAGTTGAAGATGTAACAATAAGGATATGTTCAAAAAAGAGGAGTCAAAAAAGGCTAGTAACATAGGCCAGCCAGGTGGCCTGGATTCAGGTTTCAGTTCAGTGTGACCTTGGGAAAATTAATTTCGGTGCCTCAGTTTCCTCATCTATAAAATGAGGATAATATTGCTATTTCCTCAAGAGTCATTTTGAAAATTAAACGACTTAATGAAATTTATAGTTTAAAATTTATTCTTCAATAAATTTAAGTTATTATGGCTTTATTACCACACCTTAAATGTAGCTATTTGTTTACTTTAATCTTTGTTGCAAACAAAATTCTTAGATTCAGATAGTTTGCAAACTCAACTTCATAGATCATAGGGAAAGCAGAAGAATGTATTGTTTAAATCTGGAATCCTGTTTGGGACATACTTTGCTGCTGGGTACTCTTAAGTAGACACAGTTTGAATGGCAGCCAATAATTTAGTATGGAATTTATGTTTCAAACCCTCCCTATCACTCAGCAGTCTGCTGTCTTATAGAACCATTACTAAAAAGCCTAAGAAATCACCCACAGCATAGACTGCCCTATGGTTTCTATATTTGCACTTGGAGTTAAAGTGTGTTTATACATAGTGCTTGGGTATCTCTTTTACAGCTGTCTATACTGGGTAATGTATAACAATGGAGACTTCGTCCTCCATAGAAGGACACATTGTTAAATTTATCATTTTTTATTTCTTTCCTTAGATGATTTGTTTTGTTTTACTAACCTAGTAACAGATAAAAATGAAAAGCCCAAAAAAGGTCATCTTAAGCTAACTTCAACCTTACCAAATGGAAATGAATTCTTGCTATTCATTGTCCTTAATCCTAGTCATTCTTCTTAAACAAAACAAGAAAAGCATATTCCAAGATAATCAAAAAAATTGTTACATCATAAAGATGTGCACATATACTCTGCTTAGTATTTTGTATGTTTAATTTAACTAGAATATATAGAAAGCACTCTTACATAAGTAGGGAAGCTTCTTAGTAGCTTCAGTGGTAACAAATCTTATACAAGACAAATATGATTTAGATCTGTTAATTTTACTTTGTTTCTCAATTGAAAAGGTGAGTCTTTAAAAAGATGAGGCAACTGAGATTTAGAATTATAATTCTCTAATGAAAACTTTGTGGAAAGAGAAAGGAAGGAAGGAAGGAAAGAAAAGTAAAATTAAAAAAAGAAGGAAGGAACTTTTCCTGGCTTTTAAGAATGTGTTAGAGATTTACTAGGGCAAAAATATAGGAACCTCAGGAAAATGTATTGGATTATGTTCTTTTTCCTTAAATGCTCAGTTTTACTCTTTAGGTAATGAGAGAAGGAAAAAGGCTGCAGG